GCCCCCCCCCCCCCCTTCCCCCAGCACTGCAAATCCTTTCTCTCTTCTCTCAAAGCACAATCTCAGATGGCTTTTTGGTGGTTTTTTAGTCTGCAGGACCACATCTGGGGTCCTCAGCAGCATCAGCCATGTGGGTACGACTGTACTTCCCTCAAGCTCTTCATGTCTGTCTCCAAAATCAACAGCTTCAGTCACCTTCAGCCACCTGGATCAACTTAACTTCAGTCTGTGGCAATGCAAGTCCGAAGGGCCTCCCAGGAACAGGGGAGATTGGCCATCAGATGCCCTTACTTTTGTCAAAACAGTTCACCAGTGATTCCCTTTGGTGCTGCAGCTGAAAAATAGCATTAAAACCCAGCAGGCTCAGACATCAGCACCTCCCTGCTGCGTGGTGGGGTCTTGCTGGTGGGGAAAGCTCAAGACCTGGAGCCTCTTGCTTAGCCAGGCCATGGAGGTTTGGATTATGGTTTGCTTCTTCACTTTGTTTCTGGTTATGGTGGCCGTTTCACAGCACTGTGGGTGCTTTGCAAACACAGAGGTGCCCAGCACTGCTGGCAAGGTAGGAATAAGGAAGGTTGCAAAAGTAGCAATTTGCGTTGCTGGGCACAACCCAGGGACGCCCCTGGAACAACATCATCACCCACCTTCAATCCCATTGCTACTTCTACTCCGGGAGCGCGGCTGCGGCAGGCCAAGGCTCAGAGCACCACCAGCAGTTGATCCGGAAGGATCGAGTTGCAGGGACCTGTGCCAGGGCTGGGGCCGGCTCCCTGGGACGTGAAGGTCACCTCGTACCTGGGACTACTGCAGTGGGTGAAAAGGGGTCTGCTCCCACCTGCTTGGGTCACGAGGTCCAGAGACGGACAGACGCGTGAGGGTTGAGATGTACGTGCCCACCTTCAGGGTGGTGAGGGACAGCACGTAGGTGAGGATTCGAGCACTGGGGCACTGCTGAGCACGAGGGTGCAAGGGGAGAAAAACAAGATGACTTCAAGCACACAAAGCAGACAAGACTAGGAGAGGGAGAAATACTTGCTGGGAAAGGGACTCACTTTGACAAGGCCAGACATTGTTACTCCCACGTGCAGGGAAGCAGAAACACTGCAAATAATCGAGTCTAAACTGCAAAGCTGAGGGCAGGCAACGTGGCGATGGAGAAGGTGCACATTCTTCCTCTTCAGCATCACCCACCAAAAAAAAACAGGCACCGCCAAACGACCTGCGGCCCTGCCTACCCCGATGTGGGTGCTGGGGTGGGCAGGATGGGTGCTGGGGGCCCTGCCTCAGCACCGCCCTGCGTCCTCCTGCGGCACCCAGGGCCCCCCCATCCATGCAGAGGACGCTGGCGCTGGGGCAGGCGCTGTGACTGGTGCTGCAACAAAGCCGCTTTGTGCGGGGCTGGCCGGGCACGTCCCCAGCCTCCTCCCCACCCCGCGCCTCTGGCATCCTCCCATGCTGCTTTCCCTCTCGCAGGTCAGGGAGGAAGGCAGGGCCACACCAGGATGGGGCAGCACCCCAGCGACCCCCCCTGCATCCATCTCCTTCATCCCACCTCCTTCCTCATCCCCACAGCCTCCCAGCAGGTCCTGTCCCCCACAAACCTCCCACTCTGCTGGGACCAACACTTCCCTAGTGGGAACGGGGCAGCCCAGGCTCTCCAGTGAGGTTGAGACCCACTGTTCCACCTCCCTCAAGAAGTCACATCACCCTGGTAGATGTGCCCTTTTATTTGCTTGGCAGCCAGCAGCCATAACATCCATTCAGCAAGAAAACCATGGCCCGGGCAGCTGCGAAAACTCACAGCATTCCCCTTCACAGGGTGAGTAACGTGGTCGGGGCTGTTTAATCCTCCATGCCGTTTCCAGTCCCAAAATAAACCCTGGAGGCACAAACCTCCTCGCAGAGGGTCTTTGGAATCACAGCTTTCAACTAAAAGATCTTCTCCATTACCTTGTCTGAGTGGTTAAGAAATTCCCTCCTGGTCATGTCTCCAGTTTCCCCTCCCGAAAAAGCCCCCAAGCAGTTAGAGCAGAAATTCAAGGTGCAGAAAACGCAAGCCAGGTGGGAGAAAAGAGTCCTCGTGAAGGAGGCGAAGCCTCGCATCTTGCAGCTGGGGGTCAGGTCCCAAGGCTCCTTTCATCAGGTGGTATTTTGCTGTCCCTTCGCTCCTGCCTTGTCTCCACAAGAGCCCTGAGGCACCTTCTGTCTGCCGAGGCAGCACCAGGCCCTGGCAAGCCAGGCAGCGACTGAATTTCAAAGGGAAGGCCAGCACTGCTGCATCCCACTGAGGGTCAGGGTCTCCAGGCCCCGGGGTGAGCAGAAAAGCTGCTTCCCAGGGGATAATTCCAACCCCCTAGCAGGCAAAGCCTGAGCCACCCCCGAGGTTCACCCCATCTGGGGGTCCCTGCTCCCTCCAGGGCAGCGTGTGGCCTGTGCCTCAGTTTCCCCAGAGGGACAGGGGCCCACAGGGAGTGGCACCAAAAGGGGGGGGGGCTGGGGGTTAATGACACAGTCCCTCCCGTCCATCCCCCTCTCTGAACAATCCCCTTTGCTGTCAGCAGCCCTGCGCAGGGGTGGGCGAGGAGCCCCCCGCTACGCCCCAGTGGGACCCGAGACCCCCACCCCCCCGGCCGCCTTCAGGGGCTCTCAGCCAGGCTGGCAGGCGAGCTGCTGCCCGGGCTGGGCTTGGCGAGCTGCCGCAGGTCCCGCGTGGACCTGACAGCCCACTGGGCCAGCTCCCGCAGCACGCCCAGGCCACGCAGCTTCCTCTCGAAGAGGCTGAGGTGGGGAGCGGGGGGAGGCTCGGCCCCCTCCTCGCTGGGGGGCCCACGGCTCTCCAGCCGCAGCAGCTCCTCGAGGTGGTAGGTGAAGGCTGAGACCTGGAGCAGGACGGCTGCCAGCGCCTGGCCCAGGGTGGTGTCTGCCTCCCCCAGCTGCTCTTGCTGCTCCTCCAGCATCTGGGCCAGCAGGGCCCGGAAGGTCCGGTACGCCGCCAGGTTCTCCAGCAGCCGCTGGGTCCCCGTCTGCTCGTCCCAGCGCTCCACCGCTGCCACCGGCACCCCCTCCACCGCCGCCACGCTGGCAGAGGCGTCCAAGCCCTGCCGCTCCACCTGTGGGGCGACAGCAGACAGGGATCAGTGGCAGCTGGAGAAACGGGGGGGCTCCCCTGCCCTGAGCCCTGCCAGCACCAGCTCCAGGGAGCCCCGATTCAGCTCCAGCACCGGCCAGGAGGCATTCTGGGCAGCGCAAGGCCAGGTGCCCGAGCTTTGCCCAAGCACTGGCCGGCAGCACCAAGGCCCGGACACCGGCAGCATTTCACCCCCCATCTCTACCGCAGGCAGAGCCCTCGCACCCCGGCACAGCTGCCAGGATCCCCCAGGCAGCCCCCAGTAGCGGGAGCCAGCCCCGCAGGCAGCTGGAGGGAGACAGGAAAACTCACGTAGGTGTCCAGGAGGTCGACGACGTCCGAGCGCATCTTCCCGGCCAGGCGGATGCCTCGGCTGCACAGGTCACGGCGCCGGAGGGCGGCTGAGGTGTTGTCTGCTGCCGCCATGGCCCGGGCAGCTGTGGCGGGCACCAGGCTCAGGGCGCAGTGCCTGCCCGGCCCGGGGAGGACAATCCCTTGCTGAGCTGGTGCATTCCAGCTGGGAGCTCCGCTCACACGTCCGCTGGCCTGGCTCTCCCCCTCTTCCGTGCCTGGGGCCTGGCACGACGCTGCAAATTCCCGCCTCTGGGATCAACAGCGACAGATTATTTCTCTAATTCCCCCACGCATCGCTACTCCAAGCGCCTTGCCCAGAAGGGTATTGCCCGGCGGCAACAGGCTCCCAGCCCCGGCTCTGACCCATTCCTCCCTCCCAGCCGTGCAGTGAGATTAGCAGCACGCTAATCCCCCCGGCTCATGCCAGAGCGCGGGAAACCACTGCCGGGAAGAGGCGAGCAAAGCCAGGACATTGCTCAACATCTCAGCCCGGGCAGCGGGCTGGGGCCTCAGCAGGGCAGAGCACCAGGGGTGCACCCGTGAGGGGCCGCGGGCAGCCCCCAGGCTGGGCTGGAACCTGAACCCCGACAGAAGGCTGCAGGGGCCCAGCCCCGCCGCCTCCAGCCCTCTTAGTCCCCCATGGCTGCGTGGGACTGGGGCCCCCAGGCTTAACCCCCCTTTTGCAGAGGGGTCCTGCCCCAAAGGGGGGCAGCAGGGGGGGGGAAGGAGGGCCCAGCCACCCGCCACAAGTGAGCTGCATGCACCAAGACAAAAACAGCCCTTTTAGGTGGTTTGGTTTTTTCCTCAGTACGTTTATTTTGATTATGTATTACCCAGATTAAGAGAGAAAACAGGAGTCGAAAAGCAGTTTCCCTTTAGTGTCACAGTACACCGAGCCTTGTCCCCAGACTGCCTGGGGGGCTGCCCCAGCTCCAGGGCCGGTGGCCAACCCAGCAGCATCGTTGCCACCTGGTGGCTACTGCAGAAAGCGCTGCTGGGCTCCGAGAGCCCCCCAGCTCCAGCTGGCACAGCCCCCCCGGCCCAAACCCCCCGGAGAGATCCCTGCCCGCGCCGGGCACAGCACCCTCAGCTCTGCGGGGGGCAGAGAGCAGGCAAAGGGCCCTGTGCCCCTTGTTCCCTCCCCAGGAGGATAAAAAAAAAATAAATACAGAGAAAAAAATACAAAAAAGTTTATTGCAAACTACTACAATAATTTATTGAAGCGAACTGCATGCGAGTGAAGGAGAGACATCAAAGGGAGGAGGAGCTGCAGGAGGGCTGTGTCAGTTTTAGGGTTTCAAAGAGGAGTGGGAAGGGAGCTACGCCAGTCTCTCCTGCATCAGGGGTTAGCAGGCTGCGGTTAGAGGACAGACAGGCAACTGGCCAGGACCAGAAAAAGAAAAAGGAGAGCTACGAGAGGTGTGCATGGAAGGACAAGGTGGGGACTGGCAGAGGCGTCCAGGCTGGGAAACAAACAAGCTGGACAAGGCAGCCTCCCTCGCCCCAGCCGGGTGCCAAGCGTTACGTCACCAGAGGTGAGCAAGCCCCTGACCCAAAAGCATTTTATTGTGCCATCCCTCAGAAAACAAAACCCCGAGCTCTCCGTTTAGTGTTCTGTGCAAGGCTCTGCCCACTCCGCACCTCCCACGGGGCACAGGGGCAGGGAAGCAGCTCCAGCAGCATGGCTGGTCTAGAACGTGCGCTGGGGACGACACAGCCAACCCACACGTGAGCGCAGCTGCCACCGGCGGCCAGCACCCAGGCCAGGGAACGGGCCACCACATGGGGCAGCTCGGGCAGCCCCAAGTCGCCCCGGACAGAAGACCCACACTGCTGGTGGGTGAAACCATCAGAGCTGGGTTTGAACAAGTCTCATTGTGCTGCTGCTTTTCAGTTTGCAAGGGGAAGGGACCAGATGGCCACCTGAAAGCTTCCTGCTGGAAATCACAGCGATTTGATCCAAGCAAGAAACTGGATCATCCCAACTGAAGAAACTGGTTTAGTTTAACACCATACCACCACAGACCTGACGTGCACTGTCCCAGGAGACCTGTGTTCAGGAGCCTCTCCAGGAGAGGCACGGCTGGACACATCTCCTGCAGGCGTGGGAGCCACACTGCTGCCACGGTGCAAGAATGTGGGATGCCCACATCCAGGGCACAAGACACCAGGGTTGCAAACTGTTCAGCCACAAACCGTCCCAACACCAGAAGTGCTTCAACTTGCTCTGACAAAGGTATCAGCGTAAGGGGGGAAGGGAGGGGGTAAATCAGGGCAAACAGCCCAATAAATGCTGTCAGGCTTGGGCCACAGCTGGATTTCCAAGCAGCACAAGGGACAGAGTGGGTGTTCAAGGTAAGTTTCCTGGAAAAAGCTTCCAGTTCAACTCCATGTTTTATTGCCATTCTCCAGACCCCAGGTACTCGATTTTGCCAAGCTGCTGCTGTGTCCTACAGACTAATTTAGCTGATCTTGTGCTCAGACAAGATACTTCAGCTCTGCTCCCAACCACATAAACCCAACTGAAAAAACAAACAAACAAAAAGCCCAGGTTATTCTTCACCTCTTTCAAAAACACTACTAATCCAAGGCCACTGAATCTCCACGCAAAGTTTCAGAGAAGAGCAAAAAAAGATCCAAGTCTCCATAGCAGACACATCATACTCTATATAAGCTTTTCCAAGGGCTCAGAGCTGTCCTCACTACACCAGCAGGCAACACTTGAACCGCCACATTTCAGGGAAAGCAGGGGTGCTCGTGCAGAAGCGCGAAGCTTTGAGAACATGGCTGCACAACACCCTCCCCCGAGAATGGGGGCAGGGAGAGAAGCTGACAGCCCCTTCGTTCTGCGTCAGTCTATTGCCTTGGATAAACAAGCCTGAGACAACCACATCCAGTCCCTGCTTCTCTATCTGTCTAGACCTGGAAAGGAGAGGCAGTCAGATGACAACATCCCCCAGCAGCAAGCAGCTCACAACCATCCTAAGTCATGAGAACAAGTTCCTGGCTAATGACGTTCTTCCCCAAAAGACTAGGGAGCGAGGGGGAGGCAGAGAGAAGATTTAATGCAAGGAGCTCACCCCGACCTGGGAGGGAGGGAGACAACAGCCAGCTGTTCCATCACTCACCTCATCCTCCTGCTAAAACGCTGCTGCAGAGACTCCCACTGCAAACGGGCTCTTCTCCAGGGGCTCTCCCTCTACTCTGGAAAAGCTGCGAGACATCTGACTCCACAATGCTGCCTTCACCTCGGCTCTTCCAGCTGCTGTTATGATGGCACGACGTGCTCCCTGCCACTCGCTAGGGCCAAGGCGCCTACTGGGAAACAGCCTGAACACCTTCCGCCCCCACCCCCTAAGAACACAACTAAAAAATACCGACCCTTTTTTAATCAATAAATAAGGAATCTTGTTACCACAACACAAAAACGAAGCATGTTCAAAGTGCAAATTACTGTCGTCAAACTGGGATGCTCCTCCTTGCCTCTCCCACGCAGGGCTCCCGTAGCCCCCGGGCCTCTCCAAGCAAACATGATCTATGAGCCAGGGCGTTCCCTCGACTTCCTGCCAGAGCTGGAGCAGAGGAGTGCAGTGGGGAGAGGGACGTGCGCTGTTTCACAGCTCACCCTGCTGAGGGGGCCTAAAGTGCCAAGCCAAACTCCCAGCCCCGGGGGGAAGAATGAGACTGCAAGGACCAGAGTGCAGCGATGCATAGAAGTTGGGACCAGGGGCGAGAGGGAGTCCTAAGAAACTTGTCCAGAGCACATCAAATGCTTTCTAGTTTGTGAGAGGGGCCACGCCAAGGAGCCAGAAAGGCATCTGCTTTGGGGTAGAGCAAAGGGTTTCAGCAGTCTCCCCTCCCTTGGGGAAATCCGTCGCTCAATCCAACTTGCTCTGGTAATGGCAGCATGTGCCCCTTTCTACAAAGGAGCAGTGGGAGAGAGAAGTGGTTGGGAGAGAGGATGTGCTGTGATCCACGCTGGAGGGGAGCAGACCCTTCGGTTATTTACTAGTATTGTAAGTTTTGTTTAACTTTTCTCTCTTTCAGTAAGTGTCTCCTCTTTTTCTTTTTTTCCTCCTTTTAAATACAGAGTCCAAACTGTCCCAGCACCCACGTGCTCCCCACCCACTAGGGTCCAGTGGAGTCTGAATCTTCGATGAGCACCTCTGTGGTGGCTCCCAGGATCTCTGTGTTCATGACCAGCCCCTCCGGGTTTGCGCTGCTGCCACTGCCCACGAAGAGCTTGCCGTCAGCCACCAGGCTCACGCGCTCTGCCCCGCCGCAGTACGTCTTCGGCATCCCGTCGGGGTTCAGCAGCAGGCAATCTGCCGGGGCAGCGCTTCCCAGGGGGTCGGGCAGGAGGGGGAGGCCCTGCCCATCGGTGGGCGGCGCGATGGCCTCGGGATTAGTGCCCAGGATGTCAGTGCTGGTGATCAGGGCACCCGCGTTGGCAGCCAGTGCTTCGGCAATAAGCACTTCGGGGTGGCTCTTGGCTTTGTGGGCCACCACGCTGTCCTTCTTCTCAAATTTCTTGCCACAAATGTTGCAGGAGAACTGGTAGAAGGAGTCCGCATCATGCTTCTTCATGTGCCAGTTGAGGGAAGCCTTCTGCCGGCAGGTGAATCCACAGATCTCACACCTGGGAGGGGAAAAAAAGAGGAGGTCACAACAAAGGGACACCCCATACACTTGGGGGGACAGCAATACAAGAGGCAGCCCAGGAAAACAGGGCCCAACTAAAATGGGGTGTCACTGTAGCTCCAGCTCTTCCAGTTTTATTTGCAGAGGGCTTATGTTCCTCAGATCTCGACTGAGTCACTGCCTCAAGGAGCAGGCGAGACAAGTGGCAGCTCAAACGCTTCTGCAGGTGCATGTTTAAAGAGAGCTGGGACACCAGAGACAGGCTCCAGCCCTGACTTCAGAGCTGCCCCTGCTCTGGGTGCAGCCCCACAACAGCTGTGCCCAAGGGTCCCTCCAAGCAGGGGATCAAGAGACAGGCAGAGGTACTCACTGCAAGGGCTTCTCGCCCGTATGGATCATCCGGTGCACCGCCAAGTTATGAGAACTCTTAAACGCCCGGGCACAGTACTCACAGATGTAATCCCTTTGATCTAAAAAGCAACACCGGTTGGAGCATTACTCTCCCACAGACCTGCTCCCTTTTTCCAGTTCTCACATGGTGCAGGTAAAGCTGCCCAAGAAGCAGCAGAACTAGAAGGGCTGGGAAGCCAGCAGGCATAGCAAAGGAGGAGGCGTCCCACAATACACCACAGCAGCTGATCTGGAGAGTTAAGGCATGATTAAGACTCTCCTAAGAGCTAATTATCCATTCTGACCAATACTGAAGGACTGGCAAATTAAGATAAAGCTTGACTTAGTTTATTCCTCTA